AAAATCTATTCAGAACCTTGGGTGTTATACACCAAAGAACCTGTGTTTATATCCCTCAGTAAAATAGAGTTGCTAAGAGAAAGCACGGACATATACTGAAAGTTACAAGAGCTATCAGATTTCAAGCTCAAATACCTATCAAGTTCTGGGAATATTGCATATTGGCGGCAGTTTATCTGATAAATAGAATGCCTAGTTCAGTTATTGGAAATATGTCTCCATTTGAGAAATTACATAAAAGAAAACCTTATATACAACACCTTAGAGTGTTAGGCTGCCTATGTTTTGCAAAAATTATCCAGGAACATGATAAGTTAATGCCTAGAGCAAGACTATCTGTCCACATGGGCTATTCAGAAGTCCAAAAAGATTATATCATATATGATCTTTCTAATCAATCTTTCTTTGTTAGAAGAGATGTCATTTTTAGAGAAGATATATTTCCATTTGCCAATAAAGAAAGTATTTCAAAGCCTGTGTTTGTGGATAATACATCAAAAAACAGGAGTATTGTTTGACAACAGTGAAACATCTTTTGAAATTCTATTAGAATTACCACAAGCAATAGTCAGTCAGACAGAATTGAAAAAGCAGAATCCAATGCAAATCAAGACATAAGGGAAGAAAAATATGCAGACATACTAGTAGACTACATGTACACTGAACTAAATGATCATATTGCTCATGAAGAGCCTACTCAAATAACTACAGAAGTTCAAAATCAGCAGCAACCTGAGTCTTCTCAGATATCTACAGAAACTCAGAATCAACAGCAACCTGAGCTTAGAAAGTCCTGCAGAGGTAACCATCCTCCTGTCTGGATAAAAGATTTTGTATCTTTAAATATTCATCAAAATGTGCCTTATGCACTAGATCAATATATAAGTTATGACAAACTAACTCCTAAGGATCAAGCATATGTAGTTGCAACTTCATCAATTGCTGAACCTACCAATTATTCTAAAGCTATCCTGGATCCCAAATGGATAGAAGCTATGAGTGAAGAGATAAAAGCCGTTGAGAACAATCATACATGGGATATTGTAACATTACTAGAGGTAAGAAACCTATTGGCTGCAAGTGAATTTACAAAATCATATACAAAACTTCAGGTGATGTTGAGAGGTTTAAAGCTAGATTAGTAGCCAAAGGATATAGTCAAAAAGAAAGGATTGATTATTAAGAAACATTCTCACCAGTGGTGAAAATGGTTACAGTAAGAACAATATTAAGTGTTGCATCTTCAAAGAACTGGCATATACACCAAATGGATGTGTATAATATTTTTCTTCAAGGTGATTTATTTGATGAAATCTATATAGAGCCACAACTCCCCCAAACTTGAGTTTTTGCTTGTCCTCAAGCAAATAAAGTGGTTCACACCTCCACAAGTTAAGAGCCATTCCACCAAATCAAAGTGAGTCACTCACACATCAATTGGGACCAACAATTACCCACATCACTTATGAATTATCAACAAGGTAACAAGTTAAACTTTTAAGCACAAATAGTTCTAATGTGACACTTGAGCATCAAGAGTTGACTTTATTCATCAAGGAAGCTTGTTCTTTTATATAGGTCATTGTGAATCCCAAACTCCTCTTCCTCTACTCTCCGTTTGCCTATCTCATTTAATAATTTAGCACTCAATCCAAAGATTTGCGAAAGGTTCACTCACCTCTCTCAAAAGAATATCGCAAGTACGCCTTTAAGTACCATAGGCTTGCCCCTCGTGTAGATCACCACTAATGTAAGCTCACTCGGCTTGAAATCACGTAGGGCTTTTTCGGAATACAATGAAGGATTTTGGACTAAGGTGGGATATGTTATGATAGAACGAGTTCATCTTTCCTTAAGCACTCCATTTTCTTTTCTCGGATCATGTTTTGCCAACTCTTTGAGGCATTTTCTTTTCCTTGGGGGAACTAGAGAGACTTAACATCACTCTTTCTTGATCGTGACATTTATTTTCTCCTTCTTTGATTTTTCCATACTTTGTATCATTACTTTTCTTTGAATCCCTTCAGCTCTTCAACTTATTCACTTTCTTTTTGCATTTTTTTTTGTTCTTTCTCTTTTTTCCTTTCCTTGTTTTTCAAGTTCCTCGCCTCTCCACGAAACTTACGTTTTTATCCAATTATTTCACAATAGTGTTAAGGAAAGCTCGAGTGCCAAGAGAGGGTCACGACAAAATGGGTAAAGACTTGTAACATGGTTATCAAATGAGAAAGGTTTTAGGCTTACATGGGTTGACTAGGGATAACAACATTGGTGGGCAATAGAAAACTTCAAGCGGGACAAGGAGATCCTACAATCGCTTCTCAAGCCAAGCAAAACTTAAAAGTTCTCCTAGAACACATTCAGGGCAAGTTCTAGACCATTAGCACGGGTACTTGGACTTCCAACAACGACATCTCACCTTTCACGCAGCTGGATTGTTAAAAAAGATAGAGTCGAGGGCCCACAATGACTATATTCAAGATTAAAAATGACTATGGTTCGATTAAACCACTCGATGATAGTCTAAGTCAACACAAGAGTCACAAGGTCACTAACTAGAGCTATTTCTTTGAAAAAACTTTGTTTTTTACCATAGGCATGCAGTTAAGTGTATTGGTACCAAGTGACGCATGTTTGACTCTTCTAGTATGACTCAATTAGGTCTTTTTATTTATTACTACTACTATTATTGCTTAAACACCAAAAATGGACTCAATCTCTTAAGAAGGTTATCACGCCGGCGTATTCGTCGTTGGGAAGAGCCACCCGGTTCATACAAAAATCACCTTTGGAAAGAACCGTGGCATTAAGAAAACCAACGTCTTATTATCCACGAAGACATAAAAAGAAGCTATTAAATCAAAAAAAGAAGTTACTAATTCAAAAAGAAGACAAACATAAAGATAAAAAAGCTATAAAACAAAATAACTATTGAAAGCTAAACGAATATATATAATGAGAGATAAAAGCGAATATATACATAATGAGAAAGAGGAAGAAAATAGTAATTAGTTAATTACAGGACAAATGTCNCATCATCCTCAAGTCCGGGAGTGGCTGGGTTGGTGAACATCTGACGGACTGCCTCAGCAGTGTCAGCAGCGGTTTCTGGCTCCTCAGACATGCCAGCTGGTGTTGTAGGTGTTGTAGGAGTTGGGCCTGGGTGGTGCAAGTCTACCAACATATCAAATGGAATGTCCCCGGCAACGATGCCAAAAATTGATCTCGTCCAATTTCACACATCAATTCGAGGTTATGAAAACGGTCGATGCAATAATAATACCCAACAAGAGTCGGGGTCGAATTTCGCAGGGAGCTATATGTGTGGGAGTTAGTAGTATATATCGTAGCGTGTGAGTTTGTATATCTAAATTTTCACTTCCACAAAATTGGGTTGTTTTAAAGTCTAATTTAAACTACGATTGTAATTTAATGAATAAAATAGGAAATTGTTTTTGTTGTTTTACAAATGTTGTAAAAGGCCTAGGGCTATGACCTTCACCTAGGTGTTTGCCTAATGGGATATAAACTTTAAATCTTATTTTATTGGTCGGAGTGTATTATAGTTATCAACACTCAATTACCAACTCAATACCTCTCGGTCAGAGAGTGATTTTGCCCAGTTTAGCCTTTTCAAGTCCAAATGGGTATTGAACAAAAAGGTTGATAAAAAGCTCAAGTCGTGTTGTTACTATCTCTAGGTTCAACCCTTTAATTGATATTGTCAATTTCTCGATTGACCCAAATTCTTGTTAGACAAGTTTTCCTAGACTAAGTCTCTCTTTCTCAAGTAGAGACCAAGTCAAATAGGCATGAACTAATATTTTCAACTATTAATTCTACAAATAAAAGCAAGAACAAGGCTAAATAATAAACACCCAACCATAAACAAGCATTAAATCAAACACCTATTAAGTTTACACACTAGGGTTGGGTTACAACCCTAGTGAAAATCTAGTACTCATGCTTCAGATGGAAGAAATAGAAGAAGAAATGATAATTAAACTCATATTGCTAATTAAAATGATAAAATCTATGTTCAATTAGCTCAAAATATGAAAAAGTACTAAAAAGAGTAAAAGAAAACGGCTACTATAGCAGCTGATGTCAAAAGTTGACCTAAAAATGTGAAACTTGTCTATTTATACATGGATATAAATTTTTGACAAAAATGCCCTTTTGGAGGCACAATTCCATGTGTGGTCCGCACTTTTCATCAGCTTGACAGGATTGGAAAACTGCGGCCGCATTATTTTGAACCGCAGCCGCAATGCGTTCCTTCCGCGGACCGCAGAATTGTAACTGCGGCTGCACCTGGCTCTTCTGCGGTCCGCACAATTGTATTTGTGGTCGCATAGCTCTTCTTCTACGGCCGCACAATTGCCGCACTTTGCACCAATCTCTGATGGAATTTCCTTTATAACATGCGGCTGTAGATGGAATTCGGCGATCCGCACTTATGAGTTTTTGTACTTTTTATGTCTTTAGTTCATATTACTCCTTATTGAGTTGGATTTCATCTCGGGGGTTTATCTTTCAATATTCCTACAATTAAGCATATTTCATTAGTTTTCATGAATACAATTAAATACTTTTGGACTAAACCGTAAGCTAAAAGGCGCTAATAAGTAGCCAAAATCCTCACTTATCAAGTTGCCTCAAGGATTTAGAAGCCATGGAAGAATAAAGTATGCAAGCTCATTAAATCCTTGTATGGGCTTAAACAAGCTCCTAGATAATGGAATACAAAATTGTGTGAGGCTCTAAAGAAATTCAACTTCAAACAAAGTCAATTTGATCATTCACTATTCATTAAGAAGACTGCTGGAGGAATCACTATCATCTTAGTGTATGCACATGATTTGCTAATCACAGGAGACAGTCTACAACTTATTGAGGAAACAAAAACATCACTGCAGAATGCCTTCAAAATGAAAGACCTAGGGGAGTTAAAATATTTCATAGGTATTGAGTTTGCTAGATCACATAGAGGAATCACTATGCATCAAAGGAAATATGTCTTGGAGCTAATTTCAGAGGTTGGACTTGCTGCAGCAAAACCAACATTAACTCCTATTGACAATAATGTCAAGCTAACTTCAAAACAGTATGATGACCATGTTGGACAAACAAAAGACTCAGAAGACAGTGTTCCATTGGTTGATCAAACTTTCTTTCAGATACTGATAGAAAAACTTCTATATTTAACTGTAACTAGACCTGACATAGCCTTTGGGGTTCAAACACTTAGTCAATTTCTTCAACAGCCCAAAAATTCAGATATGGAAGTTGCCTTGAGAATTGTCAAGTACATTAAGATTCATCTAGGTCAAGGAATCTTATTATCTAGTACTCAGATTAATACTATCACTACATTATGTGATGCAGTCTGGTGTCACATCCTTAGTCGTTAATTAAGTACATGTGCGGCACTTGACAACTCACTTACGATCTTGCACAACGCACTTGACAACTCACTTACGATCTTGCACAACTTTCTCACGTTCTTGCTATGCCAAATCAGTCTTACTACACTCAAGATCGCTAAGAGAATGTTTGAAAGAACACAAGAGAATTGTTAAAGGAAGGTTTGTATTATAGAGAATTTGAATTGTTTGCTTGGTGAATTACAAATGAATGGCCCCCTTTATATACTAGTCTCCTAGAGTTTAATGTGTAAATATTAATTGTTACACAAGTCCTTAAAATTTACAAGGTAAGGGTTTTCTCTAGAATTCTTTACAAGCCTAGAAGATTCCAAGGACTTTCCTAGCAAATCCATAGGGATCTAGGGTCTTCCAAAGGAAATGTCCATACTTTTCTAGAATCTTCTCACAAATGCTAGCCTTCCTCCTATGTAAGCTTTCACATGACTTTAATATATGCCAAATGGTGCCTATGTGGCATGGTGACATGGCGGGTCATCACACTGAGTTGCATGCCCTTTGACCAAAAAATCTGTCACATGCTTCTTAATCAAGTTAGGTGACTCGTTGGTATCGTGAAAGTCAAAGAAACAAACTATTGTTTCTCGAAGTTCTGCAGAAGCTGAATATAGAAGTCTAGCAACATCAGTAGCTTAGCTAATTTGGCTTCATGGACTGTTAAAAGAAGTTGATATTCAAATTAAGTTGCCTATTGATATTTATAGTGACAGCAAAGCAGCTATGCAAATAGCTACAAATCCAGTCTATCATGAAAGGACCAAATACATTAAAATCGATTGTCATTTCATGAGAGAAAGAATTCAACAAGGGCTTATTACTACAAAGTACATCTCAACAACTGATCAACATGTGGATATTCTTACAAAGGGACTAACCAGAGTTTAACATTAGTACCTAAAATCCAAGTTAGGTGTGTTCAATATTTTTCCACCACCTAACTTGAGGGGGAGTATTAAATAATACAAAGGGTATAATTGTCATTATATATTGAAGTTGTTAGAGAGTTAGTTAAGCTTAGTGTTAGAAGTTAGTTAAAAGTCTGAATACACTATTAATGAAACGTGTATAAAAGGAACAATGAAATATAATTTCTACAAACTTCTAACAAACGAAATCTTCTCATTCATTTTGGCTAATCTCTATTCTCTCAAATGATTGCCTCCTCTTCTTCTTCTTCCTTTCTATGCTTCTTTTATTTCTATGAATCTTTACTCACTACTATGTGAATTATTTCAACTTTAAGTGTTGGCCATGGCAGGAGGAATTTCTTCTGTATTCATCGCTTTTAATTTATAGCTCCGACCTCGCAAGAGGAATTGCCACAGTATCGGGTCCAAATCCCTCAATAACTAAGCTTAAAATATTGTGTTCACTTCCAATTCGGTTAGTAAAATCGATTTAGCTCAGAAACTCTTTTGGTTTAACCATGGTGGAAGAGTCTGGTGGTGGGCAAATGGGTGGGTTATTTTAGAAAAATAAAAAAAATAAAGAAACTGAAAAAGGGATAAAAATTATTTTTAACTATTGGATAAATTTTATTAGATTTGAACCGTTCATATAAAACACTAAATATAAATATTTTTATTGTTCAGAAGCCTTATTTTGTTTGTAAATCACGCGCTAGCCACGTAGACAAAAAGGTGTGTCTTAGCTACACTTTAGAAAGGTTAAGTGTGTAAGGTAATATTAGTCCGCAAAAAATGTGTAACAGAGATTTGGTCCATAGTTCAAGAGGTAACTTATATATTTTTCCTTAATTTGTTTGTTAAATAAATGTTGAATTATGTAAGTGAAAATTATTTTTTCACCTGAAATACTTCTTATATAAAATTTTCAACTTGAATTATATATTTCAAGTTGGAGTTAATACAGTGAAGCAACATTATTTTGCAAATAATGTTGAAAAAAAAATTGATTCTATAATAACCACACAGAAATTAGAAATCAGAGTTAAAAATTAAATCAATAAAAAATGTTGAATGTTATATGGAGTACTTGACTGAGCAAACTTATTGGGTATTATTACTTTTAGCCCGCACCAGAAATTATTTACATTCGACAGCCAAAATAATGTATAAAAGTTGTATAATTTTTGTATATAACATACATAATGAATATATGTACAAACAAATATGAAAAATATTTATATTTTTTACTATTATTTTAAGAGCACTTATATAATATTATTTTTTAAAAATTATTTATTTAATACTCCTACTTGTTAGATAGTCACAACTCACAATACATACGAATTACTCCCTCCATTTCAAATTATATAACATGATTCTCTTATACACGCTTTTGACAAAATTAATTAGGATGGGATTTTGACTAATTTACTCTTATTCATGTCTTAACATTTAATCTTTTTTTATTGGTATTTGAACAAAGTTATTGATAATTGAGGTATTTGTAGTTTTCAAGAATAATTATTATTAAGGGTAAAAAGAAAAAAAAATTAATTTTATCTTAAATTTCTAAAATGACAAATAATTTGAGACAACTAAATGACTGATAATACGATACGGACGGAGTAATTTAGACACTATTTGGCCCGTTGGATGGATTTAAAGAAGTCGCATCACGCAAACACCAATGCAAAAATCTAATGGCTGCGTGTGATGGTATAAATAAAATATTCTCCTTCTTTTCATAAAATAACTTTAGAATTCCTTTCTATTTTGAAGTATTCGTACTACAAGTCTAAAGTTGGTGACGTCAAAGAGAATTATTTGAATATAAGTAGCGGGATAGATTTGCCTATATTAGAACTTGATTTCCTTTTACTTATTTATTTCCTTTTATAGAAGTACTAGATGAGGAGATAAAGAAGTAGGAGTCTGTTAGGCCAATGTTTATTTCTAAACGCATAGTTTATCAAATAAAATTTGTAAAAAGAGATGTTTTTAAACGATGTAGCAGTTTGTTTTATGTCAAATTATTTGTCAAGCATTTCTTTTTAAATAAAAGAACAAAAAAATATAGTACTAATTGTTTATATTAGTAAAAGAACAAAAACAATATAGTAATTGTTTATATTCTCATCGTATCTTTTACAAGTTAATTCTACCTGCCATCCCGATGGCAAAGTACAAGAAAAAGAAGGTGTATTTTTAGGTCATTTACTTAGCTTTGAATATTGGAAATTGGACGATGTTCTCTATCTTCCATTGGAAACATTAGAGATCTATCACTCCAGTTCATACATTTATGTGTAATTTTTTTGTCATATTTTTCAGTTTGACTATTCAAATGTCAAACCCTATTTTAGTCAAGAAGATACGTGGTGTATATTAGTAGTAAATAGTAGTAATAATTATATGAATATTCCCTCTTATCCATTTTATGTGATACACTTTGACTGGATATGAAATTTAAGGAATAAAAAAAAATTAAAACTTATTGTCTAAAAAAAGTCGTAGATATTTGCATGGATATAAATCATCTCAACAAAAATAAATTAAAAAATTTAAAATTAAATTATTTCTTAATATAGAACAATATTATTCTTTCCGTGACATCCTAAAAAGAAAAATGCATTACATAAATTAGGACAGAGGGAGTAATATATTTATGTAGTTTGTTACTTTTGTCTTTTTCTCGTACTACATCTAAGATGCAATTGTAAACGTTGAACTATTTGAACATCTTATTAAAAAATTTAAGTTACTAGAGGGAACATATTTTATTTACTTAACTATATTTTCAATACACCGATGATCATTTGAGGGTGTTATTCCTTTTTATAGGTCAATTCAAGTATGCGAGAATTCTATTCTATAATGGATAATTGTGAAACTTGAACTCATCAGTTTGTTTATTTTAATACCAAGTTAGAGTACTGTACGACTATTTCATCCAAAAATTAATGTTAACGGAAAGCATACTTTTATTTATTTAACTATATATTAAACAATATATAACTTTTATGGGACGGAGTCGAAGAAAACTAATAATCACTATATAACTCATTAAACAACATACTTTATACAATGCAAAAAAACAAAAAACAAAAAAAACTTTGTAATCTTCTTTGTTTTCCCTTTTTTTTTAAATTTATGTTTCCTTTTTCCCTTTTTCTAACTTTAACATGATGTTTTTGTTGGTAAGGTTCTTGAAATGGAGAAAACCCTAGCTAGCTCACCCTATCAAACGACAACTAGGGCTTCTCATCTTAGATACGGATCTTTAGTGATCATTCAAAAGATTTTTCTTTAGCCCTTTTTTCAGCCAACGTGCTCCAGTAATTGATAACAATAGTATTGCTATCGGGTCTCGTTTTCTGTTGGTACTAGGTTTTTGTGACTAATGTTGTTTTTTATTATTGATCACTTTACTTTCTTGTTGTTTTTATCCTGTTTCTTTATGGCTTTTTGGTACTATCGCTTCTTGTCTATATTTTCATTAATGTGGTACATATACTTTCCTGAGCGGAGGGTCTATTAAAAACAGTCTCTCTATTCTCACAAGAAAGGGATAAGGTTTGCGTATACATTAACTTACTCAGACCCCACAGTATGAATTAATACTAGTTATGTTGTTGTTGTAATAAGAAAATGGAAATAAATTACCAGAGTTGTTTCTTGACAGAAATCATTGATCATGTTAGAAAGAACAGCTGCAAAACAAGTAGTAGGAAATTTTCTCTATTCATGAATGGGAACAATGCTAAGTGCCTGATTGCATTGAGTGATTCTCAAAGAAGATGACCCCATTGTTGGATCCAAGTGGAATACTAATGTTTATTGGTCTACTGTATTACAAAAAAAAAAAAAAAAAAAAAAAAAAAAAAAAAAAAAAAAAACTAGATGCACAAAACATTCCGCATTTACGTAGGGTTATGAGAAGGGACATACCCTTAGGGCTATGATGCATGCAGTATACCCTAACGCACGCATTAGTGGTTGTTTTCGCGGCTCGTACTTGTGACCTATAGATCACACGCAGACAATTTTACCGCGTAGACT